AGAAACCAGCAGAGGCATCCTGTGTTGACTTAGCTTTTATACAGGCTAACTGGAATTTCAAAGAGCAGAAAACTTTGGGGCTATTCCCAAGTCACAAAAGCAGCTTAAATACAAACTAACCAGCAGGAACATGGACCATACTCAGATTAAGGCTAGATGGCACAAATCATTCCTGGCTGTTTTGCATAGATTGGGCTTAGTCCCACAAGGTGAGAGAAGCAGGATTGTGCAGTTAACCCGTACCCAAGGAAAGGTTTCCTCTGCAGGTGCTCTTCAGCCTATCCTGAATTCTGCATCAGTGTTCTAAGACAGCTTTTACATTTGTTTAGGAAACTTTGTTTTTGTTTTAATTCTAAACCCAGTAATCTCCAGTCTCTTATCCTTGTCACACAAACACCATCAGGACGTTGTTCCTTGTTTACAACACACCAAGTAAAACTCCCTCTATCAGTGTAAAAGTCTGTCTCTGTGGCTTTCCCTGAACTCTGTGCTTCCCAGTGACTGCCTGGGATAAAGCAAAGGAACAGTCAGTGCATTCCAGGTGCAAGAGAAGAAGCAGGGCATTGCATTGCAGGGCACAGGGTGGGTTGTCTGAGGTGGTGGTGGAGGAGGAGTCTCTACCTTTTGTACCTCCTGCACTGCTAGGTAGGAGGAGGCCCAAAAGTGTGACATCTATATGTGTCACCAGAACCAGGGCCAGAAGCTCATCCATTGCCAGCATCAGGTTGTGTTTCCCATGAGATACAATCTGCATAAACCAATAAAGCTCTGCAAAGCAAAGCAAACTTTGCTTTGTACTCCATCCCGGTGCTGCCTTGCTAAGTCAACTCCACAACTGAAAAACGTATTATTGCAAGATCTCAGACTTTTCCCTCCCACTTTTTTTGTAATCAAACCTTATTACCGAAACCAGGACAACAGGGAAAACTGTGCTGGTGAGCAGCCTGAAGCAGAACTAAATGGGAAAGAGCCAGAGGAGTATTCTTTCCAGCTACCAGAGCTCAGCTGCTTTTTGCCTTAGTCATCCTCAGCACAAGTACTCATCTGTGGTCTTCCTGTTTCCCATTCCACAGCACAATTAATGTCTAAACAAAACACCCTTTGTGCTGCCTCCAGTGACATGCTGACTTCCCTTAAATCCATTTGCAGGGTCACCATCCCTTCTGCCACCAAATCCCCACCTTCACTTTCAAGCTTCTCATGTCATGACACTCTCCCACTTCCCTTCTCTGGTTTGCCTTGATTTCTTTCACTCAGACCCAGTCTTTTCTTCGCTGATTCTCCTCAGAGTGCTTTCACACCTGTAATTATCTGCCCAACCAAAATTCACTTTCCTCTTTTACTCACCAAAACAAGGACCTCCACAATCACCTAGGATGCAGCAGCTTACAGTGCTGAGCAAATGATTGAGGACTACACGGTAATAAAGGAGGAAGACAACACAAAGGATGGGAAGGTAGAAACGGGAAATAAATAGTGAGGCAGAGTATTGGGACTGAGCAATAACTACACATCATGAACAGAACCAGGGAGGAGGTGAGCTTAAAGAGTAGGAGGAGGTAGCAGATGATGAGAGAGTAGATACTTATTCAGAAACAGATACTTAATTCAACTAAAATTAATCTCTTTTCATATGAATGAATTTGAGGTCACTTATAGGGTCAAAAACACTGTCAGCAACCTGCACCAGCTTTTTCCTGGTGATACTATGACTCTTTAAAACAGTTTTTCAACAGTCCCCATAAGAAAGGGAATGGCACCCTTTCTTTTTTCTGAGGAAATGCCCTATTTGGGGTGAAAGAAATAAAGGACAGTGAGCTGACAGTTTAGGATCTAATTCTCATGATGAGCTATCTTCTGTTTTTCCTGTACATATTCCTACATACATTTACCACTGGGGCCCACTGGTGTGAAGCTTTTCCTAGAAAAGAATTCATCATGACTCTTGCAACACTCAAACACTACCCCAGGCACCTTCTCTCTGCCTCACTCACTTGATGAGAGAGAAAATCCACTGTTTTATTTTAAGATCATGGCTCAGAAAAGTGTTCTCACCACATTTTTAATGTATAACTCAGAAGGATGTTAGCACTGTATGTTTTTTAATCTCTAAGTTAATACAGCACAAAATTGTATTAAAAGACCATTACGTTGGAAGGCACGGTGAGGTTAGGAAATGTTGGATTGAAGTTGCCTGCACATCCTGACTGCTGAACTGCATCATGTCACAGGCTTTAGCTACACAACTGCACACTCACCCTCTGAACATCTACACATCATTTCCTTGTCCTTGCTGTTCACTGTGCTGTTTCCTGAACACTACTCAGATCCTGTGCTGAACACAGAATTATACATGTCACAGAAGTTTTTTTTCATGGCATCACCTCGAGGCCTTACAACAGCTGATTTGTCAGTGAGCACTGGAGGGGGAAGGGTGGTGTCACCCCCACATTGCAGATGTGGGACTGAGACAGGAGGGTTAAAGGTGTGCACAAAGCAGAGAAGGCTGGCACTAGGATCTGCAAAATCAGGAGAACACCACACCTCAATAATACAAAGAAGTTGTGCAGCTTTAGGTATACCTTTGAGCATTCAGCATTCCTTAAAATCATTTTCCACAAGGAGAAAAAGCAGAACATACAATACATCAATTACCATATCATAAATCTCTGCTGCATCCATGTCTAGTATAAAATCTGAGGCTTATCATCCTCTGTGGGAAATGAGAACAGGCATGTGAAGTGATTTTGGCCAGTGCATTTTGCAAATATTTATTATGCAGAGTGGATTGGGGAGATGATGTCCTCAGCTCAAGCCAAATTTCACAAGGAAATGTATTTAGTGGTCACAGACCCTTAACTGCAAGCTCTGCTCCACTGCAGCCAGATTTCTCCTGCTGTTATGTTTGTCCTGTTATCATCTCCCAGAAACCTTCTTTGCTGTACTTCGTCCCTGTGTTTTCCTGTAGGCTTTTTATCCCAAATGCTCTCTCTTCCCACTGCTTCCCTCTTTTAGACCCCACATTCTCCTCTGCCTGTTCCAGCCCACTGGTGGCCACTGTGTTTCAGCTCCTGCTGCTCTGCTGTCTGCTCTTTCTGGCCTCTTTGCTCAGCCAGCCCTCAAATACTTGGTCTACAGCTCACAGGCCCAGTTTTAAGCCCTGTGAATTTCTCAATGGGCTTCTTCTGCAGTCCAGCATAGCTTCTGCTCAGTGGCTTAGTCCTTCTATATCGAGATTTGAGAAAAGAAGAGTTTCCCTCATTCCAGTTTCCACTCCTAAATGTCGTGCCACAGAAGCTCTTGAAAAGATATGAAGTCTGGGGGATTTATGAGGTGTAGAGTATTTCAAGATAAACTCAACAAAATCTGATCATAAGCAGTAGTTCCAGATTAACCTCTTCTGGTCTCAGCCTTAACCTGTCCACCCTGTAATTAAACCCTGAATATGTCCCTTTACTGAAGTTGTAAAAAAACAAAACAAAACAACAAAAAAACTTAGATGATAACTGCTGCTATGAAAAGGAGTATACCACAAAAAAGTACCCCAACAAATTAGTGAGTATAAAAAGCTTTAGTATAAGCACGAGGCTCAGCTTGCAGATTTGCTGATCCTTTTGGGTGAACCTTCCAGTAATTTAGTGGTGGACTTGGCTGATGGTTGGACTCAGTGATCTTAGAGGCCTAAATGATTTTATTATTTTATGATTATGTCACTAACATGATATTTGGCAAATACAGTAAGAAAAACCTGACTTCTCAATGAAATTAATCATGACTAGGTCAGCATGCAGCATCCCAGCCCTCCATTCAAATTTTTTCACCCTTGCACTGAATATGATAAGTTACAGAGCAGAATCCTATGGCTGACTAACAAAAAGGCAAGGAGAAAGCAGATGTGCTTCAAGAAAACCCTGTGAGCCTTCAAGCCTCACAGCTGTCTCAGCTCCTGTCGGAACCCCAGCCTGGTTCAGGGGTTCCGTGTGGTGGAAAAGTCTCTCCTCCAACCCGAGCTTCCAAAGAAAACTCTGCAGCCTCTTGTTGTTTGGTCTTAAGGCAGTTTATTGCAAATTATCTAAAAAATTTTCTCCTCAGGCTGCTGTGGTTTGCTCACAGCTCAGGCAGAGGCACACACACACCCTGACATCCTCTCTGACTCCCGACTGCTTCTTCTCTCCCCGCCCAGGGCTGCTGCTGTCTTTTATATGGTACATTACGTGTTACATGGTTACAGTTTTTCCCCAATGCCTATTACCTATATTAAATGGTGCTTTTCTACTCTAAACCAATCTGTGAGTGCCAACATCACCAAGAACATGGAGGTAAGGAAGAAGAAAGAGGAGAAACAGGACCAGCCTACATTCCTCCATCTTAAAACCTCTGACCCCATGTACAAAGTAAAAACCCCCCTGTACAGGTGTTAAAACCCCCTTGTACAATACTAAAAAATTCTTCCCTCTACTTTGTAACTACTTCTACTATAACATCTAAACTTTTGTGACTTCTTGTTCTTCCTGCAAGGTTGGTAAATCATTCAATGGCTCAAACTCAAAATCACAGCTGTTTCCAGCTGCCTGCCAGGGTCTCAAATGCTTCTGACTGGAGCCTGGAACCTCCAAAAATGTCTGAGGGACATTTTGAGTTCCAACAAGCTCCCATCCTGCTTGGTCTTCCCTGCACAAGCACAGGATGATGGCAGGACGGATCCTTGCACCACTTGCACTGGGCAGCAGTGGAAAATATTTGGGTATTTTGGGAAATACCCAAAAGCAGGCTCCATTCCCTGCCTTCCCTGCTTTTCCCTGGACCACTAGATGGCAGTTCCCCATCTCCAAACGGGGCTCTCGGTACCTGTTGGCCCCTGCCAAGCCAGCAGAGCTGAGGCACATCTGTCCAGCTGAAGGGCAAACAGCTCTGCACCCCTGCATGATAACAGAGGGAATTTCCACAGGCACCCCCAGGCTGCTGGACAGGAGAGGTCCCCCCTGCCATGCCTTACTCACCCAGAATTTGACGAGGAAGAAAGCATTCTGAGGCCCCTTCCCAAAGAGCTCCTTCAGCCCGCCCTTCTTTTCGGGAAATTTGTCGTAAATCTGACGAATGTCCACCGACTCGAGCAAGGGGTCGCTGTAAGAATGGTTGGCGTGTCCAATGTGCACGAAGAGGTGTTTGTTGTACTGCGAGGGAGAAAGAGGAGAATCAGTGCTGTGAGGGAAGAGCAGAGGGCTGCTACAGCAGGGGGCTGTGCTCCGGTGGATTAAATGACTCGCACGTCACTCCTGGGACTGGGATTTTCTGCAGCGTGGTTTCCACAAACAACTTTGCTGATTGTGTCACGGACCCTTGTGAACAAGGGTCAACATCAAAAAAAAAACACCTGTGTCCCCACTGCAAACCCCAAAGCACAGGCCTCTGCAAGGGGGTAATTTACACTGCAAGACCCAGTGGCAGCACGGTGATAAAGAGCCCTTCACTGAGCATAAAAAGATGAATGTGCTCAGGAGAAAAGGCTATTTTTGCTCCTTTGACCAGTGTGTTTTAATGTTCTCTGTCCTCAGAGCCTGAATTTCTGCTCGTGCTGCAGAGCCCACCCATGCACACCACCTGCTTGTCTACTAAAAAGCCCCAAACCTCTCTCTGCAGCACATCTCAACTAAAAGAGATGGAGGGCATTTCCTTTAAACTGCAGGATGACAGTAATTACTCTGCACTGCTGTTCCTATAGACATTGTCCTCCTGTATTTCGACCCATGTAATATTAAAGAGCCCAACTTTTCCCCCTTCCCCCGGGAGCCAGCTCTGTAGATGACCAACCCTGCCAAAATATATGCAGCTTCAGCTTCCTATTTCTTAACTTCATCCCATCACACCTCATTGTAATCACAGAAATCACCTTGACAGTGCCTCTCCTGCCTGGGGGAAATCCTTGGCCCAGTGAAGTCCACTACAAAGGAGTCCAACACGATCTTTTAGGGGCTGCCATTCCTCCAAGAGAACCTTTCAGCACCCAAAATAAAACTGGAAGGATGAACACCAAAAGACCCTCCACCAGTCAATCAGCACCTCCCAGCGTCACGAGAGCAGAGTGAAGGAGCTCCAGAGTGGCAGGATTAAACACCGGGGGTTTTCACCACGCAGATCACAAAACATTTTGCTAGCTCAGTTACGGGAAAGCTGATATGCAGTCAATGAACACTAGAGAACCCTGTCACATTGAACAGATGCTGTACATAAGGGGCAATTCCCAAAAGCTAGGCACAAATAAAATATTTAAAACCCCAAAGCAAACCTCATTTAAGCTATTTTGTTTACAATGTACCTGCTGAATGAACAAATTGAAGTGACAAATTTAAATGAATTGGGCAACCACTCAGAGCCTTCCTTCGGTGTGAGCAGAGTCTTCCCTAGCAGATGTCCAAAACTCTAGGGAAAAGGAAATGGACTGGCTGGATTTCTGCACTTAGGAAATGAAATTGAAATCTATTAAAAAATCATCTAGCACACTGAAATCTGAGTTTAGAACCAGAGAACACTTATCTGGGTATGGGGCCAAAAACGAGATACAGCCTGTGTTTTTTTTGCAGGGTTGTATTTCTTTCTAAATTTTGTGGAAAGAAAAAGGAAAACGTAACATGTCATTAAGGCATTTCCACAAGCAAAAAAAAAAAAGGGGAGGGGATTGTTTCTCTCAGTCTTCTCTGCTGGAGTTTTTTCAGGTTATATAAATAACCACATTTTTATGGAAACAGAACCGAGGGCTCAGATTCTCCTGTAAATTGTCCTCCTCCCCAAAAGGGTGTCTCTCTCCCAGCCCAAAGATGGCTGGGGAGGGAAGGGGGGAAGGAAAAGCTGTATTTTACAGTTTGGCCACTGCAAACTCCCAAGACAATTCACACACTGCACCTTATTCTGCAAGCCAGGCAAATATACAAATTGCTCAGGATCCAAACTTCAGTAAAAGCAAATACATTTATAGGGGCATGGAGCATGAAGTCTTAATACTCTTTAAATATAAAAGGAGAGTTGGAGGCAGCTGCAAAGCTGCCACAGTTGTCTGAAGAGCTCGCCAAAGCACCAGATGCTGCTGCAGCAAAATTTCTGAGCGGGTACAGTAGGACAGATGGTACGACATCACCTGACAACATTCTTAGGACAGAAATGTTTATTTTGATATTGCAATGTGTGATTATTTTCTCCTTATGTTGCTGCAATTCCTATGCTAAGTACAATCATTACTGAGCTAATTAGACATGGCATATTTCTGTGAACTAACAAACGATAATGCAATACTGGAGCAGGGTAAATGGGTCCTGAAATGATCCCCATCGTTTTTAGACAAACACGCTCCACGACAGCAACTGATGCATAGATAAAGGCAAAGGAGCAAAGTTTTCTGCCTATATTTTTGAGCCCATTAGTGTCTGAAAAGCTTAAAAACATCCTCATTATATTGAGAATTCACTGTTGATTTAGACTGAATATTCCAGAGTCATTGAAGTACATTAGTTGCTGAGGAATTTACTCACGCTGAAGCATTTAAAGGATTTGCATCTGGCATAGGGGCAATAATGTGCTTCAGATGCCATAAACCATCAGAAGCCAAATCCTGTATTTTCCAAGTACACAAGTACACAAAAATAGGAAGAACATTTTCAGCTCTGTCTCCTGTGTCTGCATTACACGACATGCCCTGGAGATGGCCGCCTCTCAAAGCTCCTTCCCTTAGAAAAATTCTAACTATCCAAAGAATGCAGTAAAGCCATGAAATATGACTGTTGTCAAATAATACCACAAGAAAAATTATAATCCACTTAGGAATTTAAAAGAACCAGGACAAATTGCCAATGGCAGGGGATGCTAGCATTTAAGCTGGTGCAGAACAAAGGCAAACCACCTATATCTGCTTTATCAGCCAACACACTTATTTGCAAAAGCTCCTCACCAGTTTTGCCCTTATATTCTGACACAACCATACAGACCAGCACATGGTGGGGGATGGCTCCCCATGCACAGGGTGATGCAGATGTTAAGCAAGGTGGAAGGCAGGTGGCCTGAGAGAGGGCAGCTGCTTCTGTGGGAATGACCTTGCTGATGGGCACAGCATGCCGAGTGCAAGGGTGCTGCACTCTCCTGCTGCACCCAGGGGCACAGCTGTGATTTCACCCTCCCCAATCCCACTGGCACCCCGAGCAGTGACCATGCTCCTGGGGAGGACAGGAGCCAGGTGGGGAGGGCTGCCTGGAAGCCAGGCACTGGTGTACCAGCAGTCTGTGTGCAGCTCCAACCAAACCCTGCCCAGCCTCAGCTCTGCTGCCTTGCTGTATCTCATAAATCTGAAACTCTTTAATTTCCTGCTGATGTAAGAAAATCACTTGGTCTGCCAACAAGTTTTCTTGTTTCTACCAAAACACTAGTAACTGAATATTTAATTCCTGCTGCTGTTGTCCTACACTAGAGCAGATTGGGAGTTATAAACATGACATTTTAATGCTATAACTGGAGTCTGTACCAAGTCCTGTTGCTAAGGTTTTTAACACATTCCTGTGAAATATTAACTGAATTTTCTGTGATGTATGCTAGCATACAGCTGCATGGGCAACCTGGTCTTTCATGGACCTCCCTGCATTCAGACTCCTGCCTGGATCTGCTCAGGGATTGAATCAGAAATGTGAAGTAAAAGGGGGTTTTGGGTGACTTTATGATTGCAGAAGTGGAGAGGGATGAGGGATGAAGGAAGGCAGTTCGCTGACACCTTAATGTCCAGCACTTCCCAGCTACTGCCACAGCAGTCCCAGCATGAAACTGAGACTCACTGGTTGGGCAAAGTGCTTACACAACGTTTCCATCAGCTTTTTTGCAACAGTGAAGATGCATCTTTCAGTTCTGGCCTGTCTGATTTAAGACCCTGCAGTCCCAGTTCTAGAAGTGCTGAGTGCTCAGATGGGAAAATTATGCCTGACTATAGGAAGCTCTCAATAATGTTAAGTATTCTGCAAAATCAAGCTCATGACAAATCAAAGGGGACCCTCAAAATCAGTGGCCCATTCATTCTTTTGCACCTGAACTTCTTGGTTTGTCAATTGTGAGTAATAATGCTCCTTCATCCAAAAAGACTGCACTAGCACATCTGTGAGATGCAAATGGAGGGAATTATTAATTCCTTTGGAAGGGAGGTTAGACAGTGCACAGCGAGCAGGGCACGGGGCCACGCATTTCAACAGCAGAAGAAAACAAACTACTGAATAGCTGCTTATCAAAGAAGGGCCATCTACATCTCCACTGAATGTGGCAGAGGAGAAAATGAACACGTGAGCATGTCATTATCTGCTCTCTGCAGAGCAGAGCAGGGGATATTTCCCAACTTCTGAGAGCCTGGCCCTGCAGCCGGGCCAAGCGGTTTTGGGGTGGGTGTAGGGGTGGGGGAAGCTGCTGGACGAGTTGGGGAGATGCAGGGCAAAGGCACAGCCAGCTGCAAAGCCCTTGGGGCGAGCCAGGACAGGAGCTTGGAGAAGGCAGAGTGGGGAATTCACAGACAAAGCCTGCCACAGCCACCACCCACCCCGCTCTAGTGCCAACCCAACCCACGCGTGCCCCGCACTTCCAATTTTGCTCTGGAAGGAAATATCCCTGGCAGTGGGTTTGAGGAGAAGAAGAGAGGTCCATGAAGGCAGCAGTGAGAACACAGCCAGGTCCCAGCAGGCTTTCCAGCCGTGGGCTGATTTTGGGGGATAAATGGTGCTGGGCTCCCAACACACCGAGCACGTTCTGGCCCCAGGAGCCTCTCTGGAAAGTCCCTGTCCTGCTACAGCTGGGCTGGGGAAGCTGGCCTGGCATTCCCATCATGTCTCCATGGGGTCCCCCAGGAATCCTGCTGGATGGGAAGTCTGCTGCAATGCCACAGTGTCACAACTGGAGCCTGTGTCAATACTGGACCTCTTTAAAGGCCTTTCTTGGGACCGCTAACTACGGACATTTCACAGAGATGAACGTTTGCATCCCAGGGCCAACTCGCAGCTCTCCAGCACAGCCAAATAAATGAGCCTTGTCTTTAGAAAAACTTTTTCTGATTAAAATGACCTCAAATCCTGAGTCTGCAGCTCTGAGACATTCATCCTAATGTGAGTTTGCTTTCTTGTCCTTTCACATCACAGACACTAAACCAAGGGCTTCCTTGTGAGTGAGATGCTGGACTGCTTTTTATACTGTTTGCAGGGAGTACACAAAGGATAAACAATCCTTGTAACAATGGATATTGTTCAAGGATGGAGGGCTTCTTTTGAAAATATCTCATTTATTTTTCATCACTTAGGTGGTTTGATTAACTTTGGTGAATTTTACTGCATTTGGCTAATGATGGCAGGCTGTTTTTATGGCCCTTGAGCAATTGCTTTCCCTTTCTGGTTCTCAGGCACAATTCTCCCCGGGCTCACAAAGTCTTTTTACAACAACAATAAAACCTGAATTAAAACATAAAGAATGTTTTATTTCTTCACCACTTTTTGAAATACATTTTGAAATTTGGACCTAACACAATCTGACAGTTTGGATGGGTGGACTAATACTGAAAATGTCCATCAGCCATCTTCTTTATAGCCCTATATAGTTATTTTAAATGTAAAGCTGTCTGAAATGCTCACAATTTAAATAAATGTGACAGTAAGAGCAAGAAACCTCAAAAAGGAAGAGAAGAAAGGGCTATTTTTGATAGGGATTCTTTTTCTCTGATTGAAAATCAAGCTTGAGTGTATGTGTATATACATATATATAAATGATTTCGAATTATTCTCATTTCAGTTATAGTCTTTGAATTTTATATCTCCTTGTGCAGCAGTCAGTTGCTTAGATCTGTTTGCATGCTCAGTTTATATTTGTTAGGGAACAAGGGATTGCTCAGTTTAAGCATTTGTCCTGAACTTTCACAGAACCACTACAATAAAGTATTTCCATTAAGGAAAACCTGTCTTGGAAGCAGCAGATGGGCACAAAAACTGCTCCATCTGCTGAGAACAGAGTTATGCAGGGCAGGAAAAAATCTAAGGTAACTGAAATGATGCTGCTTGGACCTGCAAGGGAAACTTCTATGCACCATTTAGGAATTGCACTTAAGCACAAAATGCCACAAAAAGAAAATTCATCTTGACATTTGTAAACTGATTTTCATGTGAAAAGAGGAGCAACTTTGCCCATCCTCAGCTGCAGTCAGTGCTCCAATATTTTGCAACTGTGCCATCTTGTGTTCCCCAGACTATCTTCTGCCCTGCAGAGTTACAGTGAGAGCTGATTATTGTTTCCTTTCTATATTTTTCTCTTTTGTAAATGGAAAAATTTTGTGTCTAAACAAGGAAAAATATCAACAGCTGTCCACAAGTGAGAGGATTCTATGACTGAGCTGATTTCCCACCCTCCAGAATGCCCACTCTAAACTAAACTATTGCACTAAGCGTTTGTTTTTTTTTTTTGTTGTTGTTGTTTTTTGTTTGTTTGTTTGGGTTTTTTGTTGTTTTTTTTTTTTTTTTTAAATTTTAAACTCCAGTTGCCATTGGAAGAGCCACACACAGAAATGCTGAAGGCCTCACTCCTACCAGGAATTCCCTGTGGGTTGTGGGTGGACCTTTGTACCCATGCACAGCCCCACTGCTGGCCATGGTAGTCACCACGGCTGTCAAACCTAAATTTCTAATTTCTGGACAGGAATAGGGACTGCAAGGGGTCTGCCAGGATCAAGTCCTGTCCCCAGATTCCATGCCAAATACACAGTTTTCAGTAAAATTCCAGATTACCTTTTAAGGTGGAATTGGTCTGTTGCCTCTACTATTATGAGGCTTTCTGGCCTGATTTTGTGTTGGGAGAAAGAGGAGGAAGGGTCACATTTTTTTAATTAAATGTTGGAAGCACATTTGACAAAGATACTAATTTTATGTAATTTGTGAAAAGTCAGCAATGTAATGAATCTATAACTCTCCTTTATCAGAAGACAGAGGAGAACTCCTACACGTTTCCTGTAGCAGCACATAAATACTTTCATTTCTGAGGTCAGCAAAGGCACAAAGGGGATGCTGCAATCACAGCATGTGCCTACACGACTTCATGTGCACATTTTGGAAATGCACTCACATCACCCGCCTCGCTGATTTCATGTGAAAAGTAATAAAATCCCATTCTTTCTCTGCTGTGCAAACTGCACCTGCAGTAAAAGAGCCGCACGAAGAAAGGTGTGCAAAGCTGCAGGCAGAGTTTCCATTTTTGGCAATGGCACTACAGGAGGCTGGGGGTTTGCCCTCTCCTCCAAGAGAACTCTTGGTGCTTGTTGGAGAGGTCTGAGCATTGGAGACAGGAGGCACAGAGCTGTCCCTGCACACCAGTGCCTCTCCAGCAAGCATCCTTCTCCCTTTGCCCTGGGAACTGGCCACACTGCCTTGGGGTTTTTTTACAATGCCTTTTCAATGCCAAATAATCAAATTTACTTAATTAAATGTCAGCAACACTTCTCTGTCGCACTATGGACATGAAATAGCTTACACACCCATACTAAGATTAAAAGAGTGAAAGGAAGCAAAAGGAGGGAACTTTATTTCTGACCTCACAATATATAGAATTCTAAAAGTGGTAGTGGATTGGAGGATGAAATTCCTACTTCTCCAATTACATTGGTCAAGCTAACAGTCAATTAATTCTCTCCTCCTACAAAGAAGAATGCAAAACAATCATTATTTACACGAACATGCGTGAGAAACTCTAGGAGAAATATGTAAACATCGGAAGGCATAGAAAACTTTTGAAAGTACTTTAAAATTTTTAAAAGAACAGGGAGACACTTCTCCTTCTCCTGACTCCCCTTTCTCAGGCAGTGATGCTCACTCAGTGTCACAGGTCTCAATCCTTTGGGTCCCCGTGGCACCTGTGTCGATGCTGCAGGCTGTCCCCATGCAGAGCACTGTCCCACTTGGATGCAAGAATGAACTAAATGGGGAATTGACTTTTCCTAGAGTCTCATTTTTTCAGTGCTACAGTGCACAGGTAACTGCTTTTTTAAAACAAGTCTAGTAGTCTGGTGCTTTTACTTGTCCTGTACGTCCTCCTGCATAAATGCATTTGAAAGGTGGGTTTCTCAGCAGTCTTCTTGCAAGTTGGGGCAAGACCCAGTGGGCCCCTGCACCCTCAGGAATTTCAAATAATATTGGTTTTTACTCCAAAGAAGGGTTTACAATACTTGTGAGGCCACCCTGAGTAACCATGCTTCTATTCACACCTCCACCCTCCCTCTGAAGTGCCAAAGGTACCCAACTGCTCAGTCCCTGTTTGCTTCCTATTACATAAAAACCCACAAATACAGAAGCACTATTAGCCTAGGGGTTTTGTATATAGATATATATTATAAATTATATAATTATTATATATTATGTATATATCATCTTAGCCCAGGGGATTTGTATATCGATTTATATCATAAAAACCTCTGGCAAAAAGGGTAATTAGGTGGCAAAACAGCCAATGAGACTGCACAGAAGTAAGATTTCACTCACACACATCCTGGTATGGGGCAGGCTGAGCATGGCAAGCCCAGAAAACAGCAGGACACGATCCATGGGGTCAGCAAGGGCTGGGAAATCTTGGAGAACGGTGACTGACAGGGAAACCTGAATGTTGTACCCCAGCAGCAGAAATCCAAATTGCTGCCTAGATAGAGGGACTCGGGAGTGGGGATGGAGGGGACGTTCCAGAGTGGTCTGGAGGACTCTAAGGTGAAGGCCACCAGAGCCAGGATTGCCATGAGACCATGGGAAGACAAAGGGATTCCAGGGAAAGCAGGAATGCCTGACAGGTAAGCGCTGAGAGAGCCATACCTGCTGCCAAACATTTCCTGCCCCTCAAAGCTCATCCAGTCTGGCAAAGCTGACGTTTGTCTATCACGGGTTTGGTGTATGAACAGCTGAGATATGGTGCATTTTCACAGGGATGTGTTACTGCTAGGAGCATTCCTCTGTTGGAAGGCTTCTGGGTTATGTCTCCAATCCCCACTGTGCAGGGTAAACACTCCTTGGATAACACCCCTGGCCAGAGCCCATAAATGCTATGGTCTCCAGTGCTGGATTATAAAAAGAAAATGATAGCTTCTCTCTTATCCAGGCTACTGTATTTTACCAGGAATCTGAACAAGAATGGCCTGTCCATATCACCCATTCAGGACAGTATTTGTTTTTCAGAAATTATCTCGAAAAAAAATTCTCAGGTTGAAGCTGAAAGAAGTTCTTTCAATTTATTTGCGATGCAGCAGAATCAGTGCTAGGCTACCTAGCTCTTGCTAAATATTTGGTGATTAATGTCAAGGTTCAAGGCTTACTGGGGTAATGAAACATTACAGACAACTTCAGAAACTACCCTTGCAGGTATAGTATGCAGACTAAAAATTAAAAGAAAATTTAAAACTTCATTTAAAAAAATCCAGCACGCAATATGCACACTTTCTGGGCAAGTCCTTAATTTTGTTTTGGTTAGGAAACAGATTAGGCTTTAACTTAAGAGTTCAAGCACTGAATTCTTGCCAAGAACACAATGCAATTTGGTACACCTGCTAAACTAGGTCAGCAGCGAGACAGGCGCCAGAGCAAACCCTGCCTGCTTTCACAGAGGCCTCTCGCTGCTGCAAATTGGGAAAAAGAGAGCAAGAAAGGAAAATACAGTCCTGGGGTGAAAGGAATATTGCACAGAGCAGCAGTGAAAACAGAGACATCAGTTGTATCCCGCCATACATGATGGAAGGCATGTCCAGAGGGTGGGGAGCAAAGGAGAAAAGCTGAAGATCAGGAGAAAAGGAGCAAAGCTGAGTGGACACAAGGGTAATAAATACTTACTGATTCAGGATCCCTCTGCTGCTCAAGGAAAGCTGAAAACTCCACCAGCCTGAGCTTGGTCGTACCAATCGATCGGCCCTGCCACGCAGGGACGGAGGGAGCTGGAGCTGATGTGGGCTCAAAGCCTGAAACACAGGAAATATCTTCATGAGGAAGCTGACACTTCCTCAGTTTATATTTTCTCAATTAAAAATAATTGGGAATTATGCATGTAGCCCTTGGATATTTATATTAATTTTAGCAAGTAATTAATTCAGGATGAGTTAAAATTGGAAAAACTCGGGCCAATATGTAGAAAAAGAGGTGGCAGCCCAGCAATCTAATAATGGTAGAAAGAAAAGATCTACTACTTTTGTTTCCTTGGGGCTGTAACTCGCTGCATAATTTTTGTTTAAATTATATACTAGATTACAGAGATTTAAAGAGACTTCACCTATACCTACAGCTGCACCCTTCCTTGGAAACTGGTATCAAGATTCACAGGAGACATTACTGCCTTGGGAGTCAAAGAACTGACTCCATTTCTGGCTCCTAATGTGCCACATGTTACAGGTAAATCACCCCACTTTTTGCCTGTTTCTGCTGCCACTCTCAGTTCCCCTCTCATATTTAGAGTACAAGCTTTCCAAGGCAGGGACTGTCTCTTACTACGTATTTGCACATTGGGTCTTGACTTCTTTTGGAGCTTTTAGGCATCATTATGATACAGCTAATAAAAAATAATTACTGTAGAGAGCTGAATCATACCCTAAAAAGAAAAAAAAAGAAAAAAAAAAGGTTTTAAATTGATAATAAAGAGAGAATGACATGATCTAGATAGAGAAGGGATGTTAACCACCCTCTCTAATTCACCTCAAGAGAAGGAATAAATGCTCTCTCTTGGTCCTCATTGTAGAAAATTGGACGAGAAGGAAAGAAAACTGCAAAGGAAGAGGAAAAGGCAGCAGCTCACAGGCAAAATTCATCTTGGGAGAGACACTGGCACAAGAAAGGCAGGGGAGAGGTACCAAAGGTACGAAAATAAAGATTATCCTGAACTAGGTTGAGAAGCAAGGACAGGTCAGAGGCAATGTATGTGCACATCCCATAATGGGAATGTGGTACCTGACCCCAACACTCAAATTTAGGCAATGAAGGTGTGAGGCTTGTGCAAAACAGGGAATTACAAATGTCACTGGCTAGACATGAACAGGAATTCTAATGAAGCAAAAACTCATGCACAAGTTTTGTCTGATTTAGAATTACTAACATTCCTATTCTGAGAGAAAAAATGGAAGGATAAAAGAAGGTGATAGACAATACCTGTCTTAGAAAAAAAAATGTTATAAATTAGGGATGTCAAGAAAAAGGCATTTTCATGAATGCAGAAAAAGAGCTTTAGTTCAAAGCATTAAATAGCAGCAAGTTAGAAAACCATAAGGATTTGGGAAAGAGTCAAAAACTTGCCACACAGAGTCAGAAGCATTGGGGTCATTTGGCAAGCGAGACATAACATGAGAAATCATCTGCAAAGAAATATTGAGTTTTCCTGAAATTAGGCATGGAAGGAACCTGGGAAAAGTAGCAGGGAAGTAGCCATGGGAAGGGCTTGATCAGTTCGAGCAATGGAATTCAGAATAAAATTAGGTACTTATCAAAGTGGTACCAGGCAAAGCAGGACCTCCAGGAGGGGATGAGTTATAAACAACCTGATGCATAGAGAAGTTTTATACTTAAGGCTAAATATTTATGATTTTATTTAGCATCCAAATGCTAAACATTTTGATTTTGGAAGGGGTTTTTGGCTCAGTTTAAAATAAATTAAGGTGCATTCCTGTTACATAGCTACTCTAAAGGAAACATTCATCCTATTACTAATTTTTTACAGTAATTCCTACAATATGGAGTGCTGACTGGAAATCACACATCACAACTCCCTGCATATGCATTAGGGCTTCCTACCTGTCATGGTTTGACACGGGAAGAGAATTTTTTAGAAGGAAGAGGTTCATCCAGTCAGGGGTCAGGTTTAGATACTGACACTTGGGGTGACCAATTGAAGGTGGACACGCCTCTGAGAACACAGAGGGGTTAAAAGTGGAATTCCCAGGAGGACTCGTCCTTCTTTGGTTCCGGTCACCGCATGGGACGGACCTCTCCCCTGCCCAGCCCGGGCTGGGTGGGGGAGGGGAGCCATGCGGCCTACACAGGTAGGCCAGGAGGTAAAGGATCGGAACCGACTGGGTCAGCTCCTGCAGATGGAAGGGTGGAGAAATCTGGGATGTCTCCGTTTCCCCCCCCAGAGTCTCTCTCTCTCCCAAGAGAGAAAAAAAGAGACTCGGTGGTTTTATCGGCAGTTCGCCGCAGGGAAGGAGAAGAGCGGGGGGGCCGCAAGGTGCCCAGTCGGCTGTGGGAGCTGGAGCCTGGGCAGCGAGCCATCCTTGGGAGTTGGGACTTTTAACCCTTCCTGAGAAATGAAGGCTTTATGAAATATTACTCCTCCTGAATTTGAAGAAAAGAGAGACAGCTTGAAACCTCAGATGTTTAGAGAAGAAGGTTGGGGGCAGATGATAGAGTGGCTTTTTAGCTGGACTCTGCTTGTTTACCATAGACTGAACCACTCTTTCTTTCAAGAGGGACTGCATTTTAGGGGGATGCATTGGTGAACCAAGAGACCTTCTGCAGCAACTACCAGTTTTGGAGTGGACAGAGAGAGAGCTGAGGAGGGTGTGAGGATGCCCTCCATCTTCAGGAAGAAGAGAAGGCGATCTCTGACCTTGGACCCTCGGCCCCAGGGGAAAATGGGGGGGACTCTAGTCCCGAAATGCGATACTGGACTGTTGTTCCTGGTGGTCCTTGGCAAAGCATCCTTAAAGGGGCCCTATAAGCAGTCTCTGTCCATGCCCGGTGGTGAGAGCACTGGGACATGGAGAGGAGAGTGTCACATTGGCCGGTCTGGGCGGTGCCACGTGTGACATTGGAAACACAAAGGTGGCAGCTGTGTTTCCTGGGGGTCTATGGTTGCAAGGGGGACTCCTCTCTTCCCCGATGGACTTAGTATTGATTATATTGAAGGGTGAAAACTTGATTAAGGATCCAAATGGGTCTCGCTGGGGTTTGGTGGAGTTGGGTGGAGGGAGGAGAAATGTTTTGGAAGGTTTTCATTTCGAATTTTGTGTGTTTTTTTTTTCTTTCCTTTCTTTTCCTTTTATAGTAGTAGTAGTAGTAGTGTAATAAAGTTTTTTCCTTTGTTATTAAGTTTGGCCTGCTTTGCTCTGTCCTTGATCACATTTCACAGCATTTGATTGGTAAATTGTATTTTCATGGGGCGCTGGCATTGTGCCAGCGTCAAACCATGACACTACCTTAAAAAAAAAACCAAAAAAACCAAAAAAACACCAAACACAATGATTTTCCCTAAGGTATAATCAGGTAATAATAGGATACTGGGATTGATGTTTCCTTTGGCTGGAAGACACATGAGATCCTGAGTGGTGGCTCTGCCCAGGGCAGAAGTTAATCCATCACATTCAGTAGAAAGTTCAAGTATTTTTAAGGCAGAGGATAAATGGGAGGATTACCTGAAATGGGAGCTGTGACTGATGGCTGTATAGGATAGGCCTGCTGAACAAATGGCTTGACGCTGCAATAGAGATACACAAAAATCACAAAAATCATACACTGTGCCATCCACAGGAAATTCCATCAGAGCCACACAGAATAGGAAAATAGGTGCCTGATGGCCTTCACCCACAAACATATCTCTTCCTTGCAGAGCATATTTAACAGACAGCACAGATTAAACAGAGAGGATGAGAATTACACCAGGGCTGGGCACTGCTGAGACTCCCAGGGGACACTGAACTATGGGGACACAAAGGAGGGTGCCCATCCCGTATTCAGCCTCAGTTTTGAGGTTTGGGATCCCTCATAACTTTTTGAATGTGAGTTCACATCACTATAAAGGCTCTTTCTTTCCCTAAAACTATCGTTACCTCCTTTTTGGAAAAATTTGCAAGTTTTTGCTTCCCTGATCTCACAGAGTGCACAAGCCACCCTTCACACTGCATAGAGAAACAAATTTGAATTTTCAGACTTACTCTTGCGAGGATCCAGGCTGCCCCGTTTGAATCATGCCTGGCCAAAACTGAAAGAGGAAAAACAAACAAAAAGGCCCACAGTTGTTCTCTTTGTTAGAAGAACTTTGGGTAATTTTCAACAAGCATGATTCCTTTTGCAAACTCAAGTCAAAGCATTAATACATTCATTCCACCTTAGTTTTCTACTGAACATTGTTAGGGAATACAGGGATTTTTTTGGGACTTACCCCAGGTGCCCCAGGAAATGTAGGACGGGGAATTCCTGGCAGGCCCAGCTTGTTGTGAATAGCAGTAGCTGAGACTATCTGAGCTGATGACATTGCTGCCATGTGCTGGAGTGCTTTGTCCTTTGCTGTCTGATCCTTTAATATGACAATTACACGGAGTCTTAAAACATTTGGCACGACAAATGACGTTAAGTAACTGCAGCTACAAGCACATAACTAAAAACTTAAAAAGCCACACAGAAAATGCAAAAATAGCAAACCATGCAGGAAAAAAATAGAAAATACAGCATGGAGGCTAAGACTCAAACTACCTCAAGGCAAAACCTCCTCTCAGACATGCATGGTAGACCTGAATTCTCACAGTCTGCTCTGCCAACACACAGGAAGCTCTGGGAGAGCAAACTACTGCCCACTTGTTTATCTGGGCAAATTCTGATTTTAAATCAGGCTGGGCTAAACAGGGCGTGCTCCTGAGGCTCAGCTCTGCCTGCAGGATAGGGAGCACTGAGATTTGAGCTCTATCATTTCCATCTAAGAGAAGTCTGCCTTTTGTATTGCACTGTAAAATGAGAACACAGAACTGCAGCTGACTTGCAAACAGGGACAGTTTTCTTCATGCTTAGAGACATTTTGGATTCAGCTTTATGACAAGCATTTTGAAAGTTAGGTCACAAACATGTAAATGACATCTTAAATTTTTAGCTGTGGCATTTTACTGATTTACAGTGCTCCACAGAAAGCTATCAGCCATAAAATTCCTGCTTTTTTCAAGCACACAGGAACATGTTTAGGAGAAGATAGGTTGTTATTGGTGACTTGTATTAGAGCAGCACTTGGAGTTCCAGCCACTGCCATCAGGTATGGCCACAGGACAGAAAGGGAAGGCCTCTTAATGCAACACAGTTAACCAGAGGGTGTCTTAGGTCAGGAAAAGTGAGTAAACAACAGACTGTTACACGCTGGTAAAGCAGGGCTCCTCATCCAGAAGTACTGGATTAATAACCACCAATATTTAGGTGTGTCACTTAGAATGAAGGAACACAAGCAGTATTAGGCAAGGATGTTTGGGGTTGTTTTTTTTTTTTTTTTCTGGTTTTGTTTTACAAGCAAAGTAGCAAGCATGCTGGCAAGAGGTGCATGCTCTTATGTATGATATATGACTTTGCACATATGCTCCCTCCAAAGCTTGTATGTAGTAGTACTATAGGTCAGCAGTTTCTTCCTTTGAATAGCTCCTTTAGAAACAGCACAGGCTGAAAGTACAGGAAAAGCTAGCCAAAAAATTCTGCCAAGCACAGCTAAGGTACATAATACTTGGTTTAGTCAAAATACTTACCATGCTTGTTACCTGGATACAACAACAAACAGTTTATTAAAATGCTTGTGTAGAATAGCAGACTCTTAGCAAAATACGAACAAAATAGTAAGAGACAAAGGAAGAGCAGTTTGCTCAACATTAAATATCAGCTTTAAACAAATACATTGTTTTCACTCAGGGTCTGATTCATTAAAAGGGGGGGAGAGGAGGGAAGATTAAAAAAGAAAAAAAAAACCAAACAAACGACAAAACCCTGGGGAGAAACAGCCTGCAGCTCCCTGTGTGAAAGCTGTGGATACTGAAAGAGAGGGATTGTTGCTGACTGTGTTTCCCTGAGCTGTGCAAGGAGCCCCTGTGGGACACAGCCTGGAGAGCAGCAGGTGGAGCAGGGCAGGATCTGCTCCAGCATCATCCCCTCTGCACCCTGCGGGAACAGCCCTGTGCTCAGCTGTCCTGAGCAGCAGCTCCGACACCCTGGGCTCACCTGTGCTCAGGGGACACAGCCCTCGGTGCAGGGACCAACTTAATCCTTTCCCAAAACTTGCAGCTTTCCAATAGAACCACAACTGGTTATGAGCTGGAGGTCAGCCCTGGCTCTCAGCCCTGCCTGCCCCAGCGTGGGAGGGTGGGCACAGGAGGTTTGTGCATGGCATGTTTTCCTGGCTGCCTTTGGATGTCTGCAGACCACCAGGCTAAAGAGATGTTCAGCTGGGTGCTAAGAAGTGGCAGAATCCTGAGGTTTGTGCAGCTCCCCATACCCCTCTACACTCTTGCACAGCAAAAAGGACCCTCCATCATGCAAAGATGAAAGTGAGATGTCCTGAAGCAATGTGGAGATCTAGCCCTACCTGATTTCTCTGTTCTACCATTTTTTTTGTAAACGGAGCTGGGTTGGAAATGCCAAACCACGAGAGTCTCACACAGCCTGCCGAATCCTACCAAAAACCAACATTCAGGGGATCCATGTCCTGTGTGTAAAATAAATGATACAGGAGACATGTGCCTCTGGGTCCTAGTATCCTCCAAAACCATGTGAGTGCTGTTTTTGTGACTACCTTGTTATTCTCCAGACGTGTTTTGGCATGACAGGCTCCTCTCCTGCACTGCCTCCTGCCTGCCACCAGCCATGCCTGTACCACCACATCAGGATGCAGTCTGTGCCTGTGCCTCTGCCAAGAGGCCAAACTCTTCTGGATCCAGCATTAGATGGATCTAAACTAAAGGAGAATTTAAAAGTAAAAACTTTGTCAGGGCTATTAAAGTCCATTCCTGGGAGCTGAGGTAGGTTATGTCTACAAAATTGTTCATCTTGCCTTCCTTTATCCCTCTAAAGTCTCTGGCTAATTCCCTGCTAGTGTTAGTGCAGCTCCAGGAGAAGCTGTATTTATACAACCTTGTAAGGCACTGAAACCAACTAAAGTGCATTACTTTCTGTAATGTTACTGCCATCCAAGGACTAGAATAGGAGCCTGGACAGTCAGCAACAGTTACAGCAGGCAAATCCCACCCTAACAGATGAGCTAAGAAAAAGTTTTGAAGATTTACATTTCCTTCAAAATATTCTGGGGAGCTCTTAGTCACCATAACAGTGAATCTGATGATCCTGAATTTTAGGGACGGTGACAGGGATTTTTGGAGGAAGAAAATGTTTTTTCTTTTGTGACATGAAATAGTATGTGCCTTCTTTCTTACCAATTGCTGCTTTTCACCCTAGAATGATCTGTGGTTTGTGGGACCATTCATCTCATCCTCTTTGACTGATTACATTTTCAGGAGGATGGAGAGAAAAGGAAAAACCTTTAGAATGACAGCTCAGAAAGGCAATCCTTGCAACAGGGCTAGTTTTGAGGTGTTTCAACAACTCATACAGGGTTTCCCACTGGTGACAAATCTGACCTGGAACATCAGGCCAGTACACTCCAATTGGAAGTTTCACCTTTTGTAGGCTTAGGAATCTTTGCACAGTGGAAAGATCAGCTTTTCTCAAAGCAACTTTACATTCAGACATGACAGAAATCAAATTCCAAGTCAAATACAGATACTTATGAGGTCCTGGCATTGGAAAAAAGCACCTTCAGCTCCAGGTACTCTTGGAGAGCTGCAAGGAGGTTGCCTGTGCTTGGATAATCAAGCAGACTTCGTGGTCTTCAAAAATAAATAGCCAAATTTGAAAGTTGTTTATTTAGATTGCAATATCAGCTTGTCTGCCACCTAAAAACAAGTGTATGTTGGGGTTTTTCATGCTGTAATAGAGAGCACTCATAACCAGGAAGGAGCGAGGCTCTCTACCTATCACTGCGAGGCAGCCACTTCTGCCATGAAACCTGGTAACTGATTAATGACACACAATGGTATTACATCACAGTTTAGGCAGCAAGAGAAGTAATATATCCAATTAAAACGGCAGGGGTAATTTACACAGGCAGATTACAGTAATTACCCAGGTTGGAATTTGGCCAGGACAAATGGGTTAACACCCCTACTCTAAAACAGGAACGTTGTAGGATTTTTATAATGACTGCAAATAGTTAAGATTTTGATTTCCTGTCTTGTCCAAGACAGAAAGGGTTTGGTATTGCTCTCATTTGTGCTGGTTTGTAAAGCTGGAATAATTTCTTTCAGCTCCATGTGGTTTAAACTGATGTAGTAAAATAAAAGTTTGGCCCAGCAAGCTACAAGTCCCGTGCTTTGATTCAGCTTGGGGGGACAGTATCTCCTACTGGATCATTAAATCCTGCTGGAGCTTAAGGTATTCCTTGGATAGGTCCCCTCTGGCCCTGACCTGCTTTGACCCTACTTAACTGATGAGCTCAGATGGGATTGCTGCTGCCCAGGAATGACACTGGAGCACTGAGCAACCCTGCCTTGCCTCCACTTATAAAAGTTTTCTTCACTGTGGTACAGAATGTTGTAATTAATGTTACCAGGGTGGATTTAGAGTACAGTCGGTGGAAAACTGGTCTAGTTCCACTTCATCCCTAAAATATCATCTCTGTAGGGGAGATCAAGATGTGTCTCGTGTTTTAGCTGACTGCTTCTGGCTGCAGTTGCACATGCTTTGTTTTTGGAAGATGTAAGCTCTAAGCAAGAACACTATAACTTTTAATGAATCAGGCCCTTGAGGTTTGCTTTTCACAATTCATTTTGGAATGCAAAATACACAGCTAAATTAGATAATAATAATTTTCCAGTATCATTCAATTATAGATCTTAATATCTATAAAAGCCCTGCATGAAACAAGAGTTTTACATGACAAGCACAAAAGTATTTGTGCTTGGCTTTCTTTTAATCCAACATAAACAGAAGAATAATTCAATCAATCAGTTCAAACAACTTCTTAAGCAAAAAAATAAAAACTGTTATCCTAGAATGATAAATGGGGCTTTGAATACCATGTTATCTATTACTTTAGGAGTAAAAAAAAAAAAAATCTTAGACAGTATGAGGAAAAGTAAGCACAACAGAGCAGTATTAATTCAAGAAGCCCTAAAAACCTGTACCAATATTTAAAATGCAAAACTTTTCATGTAAGGAAAAAAAAAAAGACATAAGAAATGACAATTTGTTCACAAAATGGATGTTACAGTAACACTAGCATAAAATAGCTTCCTAATAAGCAATTTTGCAGATGTTATTTCTGCTCAGATCTCACATTGATTCAAATAACCTTTACAATAATTAGCTGTAGCTCAAAAAAGATAAACAAATCATGACAATATACAATTGTTCTGGACAAAAGATAGAGAGCACTTCAGTGTTTCTAGCCCTGATCTCCAATTTGCTTATTATTAGAGAAGACAGGAGTAAATACAAAAGCTGGCTATTTCAGCCAGGCAATAGCTAATGCCAAGAAGAGAATGCGCATTCAAAGCTGTCCCAACTTGCTGCCTAATGAGTAGCAATTAATCCATCTTATTGTATTTCAAAATGCTGAAGACTCCATTCACATCAAAGGGAATTTTTCAAGGCTTTTATCATTGTTCATTTAAAAAAGTATAGCGCTATCTTTAGCATTTTATAATTGACAACAATATTTTCTTTTTATCCCTAAATGCGGAATGTAGAATAATAGATTTAAAAACATGTAATAGATGTGAACTGTAGGCATTTTAATGTGTAATTTTAATTTTTGCCTCTGTCTAATTAATCTTGCACTATTAAGAAAATCTGATCTGAAAGCCTAAGGTAGATGTTCATCCTGCTGTGAACACCTTTGCTCTCTGTTTATGTACAGCTTCCAATCCATCTTTTGTCCTGAATGGACAGAGGTGACTTCAGCTCCCTGTCAGTGCAAATGTGGGAAATGCTGTGACCTGACACTGTGGACTGGTGTATTTGACACAGAGAGAGGAAAAGCCATGAAGAGGAGCCACCTTTCAGATCTGTCTCCAAGTCAACTTTATCAACCTCTCTTCCCCTTTTCATGAGATTAAATTTTTCTAACTTCAGGAAGATCCTAATGACCGCAGTATATTAAGATTAAAATCTCTAAAATAGGTGTATTTTTCTGCTTCAAAGAGAATCACAATGTATGACATCCCTGGAAGGGCTGGGGGGACATTCTTTACTGGTGGTTTTGAAAGGCATTTATGAGTGAAACTTCACTTCCTTGCAGGCTAAGGATCCATCCATCCACAGCGACTGCAGGCACTTCTCATGGAAGAAAATGGACTTTGCTGGACCAAGCAGATTTTATGGCATGGAGGTGAGATTTCTGTCTCTTAGGAAAGCTTCCAATGCTGTGTGTGCAGATAGCTCTGAGATCCTTCCATCCTTGTAGATTTTTGCAGATTAACCCAGGAAGATTTGCCCAAGTCCTCTCCTCTCCAAGAGCAGGTTTCAGACCAAGGCAGGACAGTAAGATCTCTTGGTACAAAACAAACTCAGCAGCTACTTGGGGGAAAAGGGTTATTTGTATAAACACTGTCAAACTAAGAGGGCAGGAGTGGGGGCCAATGGGACAGATTGTATCAGACACATCTCAAAAGAAAGCTGACACCAGATGCATATGGGATTTTTTTTTACGTAGTAACTGCTTCCCAGGATGCCACCAGTCATAGATTTTACAAGTGGCAGCTCACTGTCAAAAGGGTGAGTTAGGCTGGGTGGGAAGCATAGAATCATAGAATGGTTTGGGTTGGAAGGGACCTGACAAATCATCTAGTTCCAAGAGCATTGCTGGTGGGACTTTTTTAAAAGGTCACCTCCTACTAGACAAGGTTGCCTCAATCCAGCCTGGCCTTGAACACTGCCAGGGCTGAGGCACCCACAGCTTCTATGGCAACCTTTTCCAGAGGCTCACCACCCTCACAGTATTTTTTTTCTCCTAATATCTAATCTAAACCTATTCTCTTTCAGTTTGAAGCCATTCCTCCTTGTCCTGTCAGTACGTGCTTGTGTAAAAAAATCACAAGTGTAAAAAACTGTGCATTTAATCTTCTTGGTCACCCCTTCAGCAGGGAATGCAGGACAGCAAGAGCCTGTCATCTTTCTGAGGATATTGATGGGGCTGTTCAGGCTGCTGCCAAAATTGGTCCCTGTTGAAACAGCAAGCACGCAGAGGTGCTGGAATGTCTTCCTTTTGCACCAGTGATGTCCTTCTCAGGCAGCTTTTGAAGTCCTCTGCAAACTGCTTTGGCAGGGGGAAGTTGGACTAAATGATCTCCAGAGGTTCCTTTCAGTCCTAACTAGTCCATGATTCCGGGTGATTCTGGGTGACAGTGAGCCATACACATGGTTCAACACAGAAATAGTCATTAGAACGGGCAGCAGTACTAACAAAATGTCTGAAGAAGCCAAGTCCATCTCAGGGTGAAAACCAGCAGCTTCTACCACCTCCAGGGAGCAATTGCAGCAGGCAAGAGGAATGAGAGCTCTCTTCTTCTTCTTAAGGCAGCTCCCTTCTGGTACCCTCTTACACCAAAGTTTCACCTTTTCTGTGAGGGGAGGAAGAGGCCTGTGGGGAGGAAGGCTGCCCCTTCTCCAGGAGGGACTAGTGCAAGGGGAAGGTGTCATGCCACAAATCCTGGTTGTCCAAGACCAGCACTGGCCAGGTTGAGAAGAAAGAGGTGGGGAGGGCCTGGCTCCTTCACCCTTCCTGGGCACTCCTGAGGCTGGAGGCTATGCAGGACAAACTGGGGCGGTGTCAGGGCTCCTGAGGAGCTCATCCCACATGGCAGCTCAGGGCCCATCAGCCTGCAAGACTCACTGGAGGAGGGCTGGAGTGGCTTTGGTCAGCAAGGACAGGGGCCAGCAAAGCTCTGTCACCTGTGTGCATCCTGTCCCCACCATGGTGTCACAGAGAGGGGAAGCAAATGCCCCTGCAGAGTGTCGGGGCCTGGAGCTGGGGTATCTTCCTGAGAACATCAGTTCCTAGCAGTGAAATGGCAGCTGCTCCACTTTCCACTCAGCACTGCGGGAGCTGCAGCCCATGGGCAGGTGGGAAAGGGCAACAAGGCATGAAGCCCTTACAAAACATTTTGTTGTCCAAACAGATCTTCCCTTCTTCTGGCAACTCCTTAAAATCTCTATTTACTGCAAATACCATCTAGACTAGATGAAATATTCTTAAGGTTTGGCTATCTCTTTGTTCTTTGGAAAGCTTCAATAAAATACAGCAGGTGCCGTACTTAAAAATGTTTTTTAATGCTTTATGTCTTCACATTTTAAGGTATTTTGGGCACTCAGAAAGGGAAACATTTTAGAGCAGTAAATCCAATAATTGTGTTTGACTCCTAGGCCTGTATTTGGTACCTACATGGGTTTCCTGATTTTTGCAGCCCTGAGCTCACCAGTCCTCTAAAACTCCAGGAGCTGCTGGTGCTGAGCACCTCTGAAAGTAAGGTCACCTCCTTACATACTTAATTTTAGGCATCAAGGCTTGACAATTTGAGCTTAAAATGCTACATATCTCTGTATTATTGCACCCTCGGTTAAAAAGCAGTACGTTTAAGTTGTCTTAGTCGTTCTTTACGAACCCCAACTGCTCAGCCAGTGCAGCTAAAAAGCCAGCCACCAACAGCCAGACAAGCTTGCCAGCATGCTGCCCATGAAAAACCCAGTGCTTCTGTCAGGGAGGCCTGTTACAAAGGCCTGTTACAAAAAAAAAAAAACCAAACAAAAAACCCTGTTATTCCTACACTGCAGTTCCAGGATGGGGGTGAGCATCCGCAGTGCTCACCGCTCAGGACCAGGAAAGCACTGCCCAAAACGTTTTGCTTTCCAGCTGGAAAAAAACCCAAAAAACCGTGATTTGTTCTCATATCTGGGTGGAAAAAAAAAGAAGAAAAAATCCACTCACATTAAAAGGAGGAAAAAAAAAGGAGGGAAGTAAAAGATTTATAAGTTCCTTCACTTTTTATTAAAAAAGAAATCGACAGCAAAAACTGCAAAACTCCCTCTTCCACTTTTAAATGGTGTGGGGAAAAAAACCCCAAAAAAATCTCAAGATTTCTGCTGGAAAACTTGAAAAACAAGCAATCCAAGAAACCCCTATTCAGCATTTCCAGGAGTTTCTTTTCAGCCTTAGAATATATTTTATGGAAGGCAGAGAAAACGGGGACATGTACAATTCATCATGTCAGATTAAGCAAACATACTTAATATTCCCTGAACAGGGCTCTGACTGAGGCTTTCCAAAGATTAAATGTCAATAATTTACTTTAAAAAAAATTAAATTTCAGGGAATCTTGTAAATAGTGCATCACTTGAGGTGATACTAGTTTGTAGTCTAGAAACACCGTAGAGCAATCTGGATAAGCTGTGCTCTCTGGCACTTGGAATAAATTATCTGGTATAAGTAATCTTGGTATCAGTTCAGAAGCATAGACAAAAAACATTTGGGAATGGAAAACAATTACCCTGATTACTCCTCTGGAAAAAAAAAATAAAATTAAAAAAAAATAAAAAGCATCTACACAACTATGCAAAACCCCTGTCCACTTAAATGCACTGCTAGGACTCAACTGTTAAAAAGTAAAACAAAAAATGGACTAATGGGTTAAAAATGAGGTTTAGGCGCTGAGCTGTTACAAAGAGGAGTTCACTTGGCATTTAGACAGTGTTAAAACGATGTTTTTAATGCGGACGCTAGTGCAGGACCCGGGGATTAAACACAAAGAGACGCAGACAGCTCCCACATGCAGGAAAAGGAGGTTACAGGCACAGCAGCCCCAGCGCTCGCCCATCACCGCGGGGAGGAGGAAGGGACAGGCATAGCAACCACAAGCCCAAAAGCAGAAAAGCGCATACCTTCAGCTTGGAATGAAAATCACGAGATTTCCTTCTGGCAAGAACCTGAATGTGACTAGACACCTGCAGGGTAGGGGAAGGGAGGAAACAAAGGAAAAGCCTGTAACCATGGAGATGAAAAGCCCCCTACAACTGGGCAAGCCAAACGTACCTTAATGGCGGCTTGAATTTCTCGAACTTTCTTTCTTGCTAAGACCTGTATGTGACTAGACACCTACATTGTTCAGGTTTATAGGGAAAAAAAAAACAACAAACAAAAGAAAAACAAAAAGCAAATCAAATTTTAAATGTCTATTTTTTTCTTAAAAAAAAAGAAAAGAAAAAAAAAACTTTTCTGAGGGGAGGAAGTTATTTGCATCTTCAGTAAGCTCTGCTGTTAAAGCTACCACATTCCCAGCCAGATACCAAGCTCTTAGCACCAAGACTTAACAATAGAGGTCAAGTCACTGCAGAGACTTGATTAAAGAAATTTTAAAAAAGGAGAAAGGAAAAAAAAGTATAACCCACCAGGTTGCGCATCCAGCTACAAGAGAGAAGACACAGCTCACAGCTGGACGCAGCCCACGTGCTTTGGTACCGCTCCCATCCATGCCCAGGCCCTGAGCTCTTATGTGGGGAGCCCAAAGGATTTCCACCCCATCTGCTGGGGATGCAGATGCCCACTCAGACCATTTGCCACTAGGCTTGAGACGTAACTTGGCACCAAGAAATTCTATCCATTATTTATTGTGCTCTGCAGCTCCAGTGAAGAGATTCAGGCTGCACTTTGAGTCCACTGAAATGCTTTAAATTCTGGCACAAATGATAAAATACTGGCACAACAAAGGTCCCTGAACCCCTGCTGGTTTCCTTAGTAATCTCAGCATCAAGTCTGCCCACAAAAAATTTGTGTAACCGGGGACCAGCAACTTGACATCAGCTTGAGTGATGCCCAGGTCTGGTCCACAGTGGTTTTGCTCAGAAATTTGTGCAAACCCAATCCTACACTACACCAGTTACTGGTCAGATGTTGCTGCCTGTGCTGTGAATGGTCTGGGCCCAAATTCACATTCCTGTTTACCCAGGGACAAACTGAAATCCATGCTGCTGCTGCTGAGGGTTTAATGATGCTGCCCAGCATCGCTTGGTGGCAGGCAGCATCCTTCAGCCTTCTGTGTGAAGGTTTAAAACCTAAAGTGATGGCAAAAACCACTAAATGGAAATCTCTGATTCTTGTTTGACCCAGGATATAACACATCAGGTGGTGCACATTTTTCCTACATTAGTTACAATTCCTGTCTAGGAAAGAACAAAGCAAAAGAAAAGGAGAAACAATGATTTCCTCCTCTGTAAGACTATTTTGTGACAATAGTACCAAAAAGCCTTTATTTTAGTAGGGAAGCAAACCATGATGCATCAATGAGCACAGTCCCTGAAGGCCACCTTTGAGAAGCAGCTCAGTTTGCAGTAATTTAGACTTATACTACTGCTTACTGAGCAATTTTGCAAACACCTTGACTGAGTTTTCACACATTCATTTGCTTTGCTTTCAGTGGAATATTAGTGGTGTTAAATATTATACAAGAAGAACAATCGTAACATTTAATCGCTCGATTAAAACTCCAGAGTAGCAACAAATCAACTTTTGTAAGCACTCAGTTTAAAGTGATTTATGCATCACTACAGAGGGATGTATAAGTATGGAGGCAGAGATTGCCACCCATCACAGCCCTCCTGCTTTCTTGGTACATGCTGGCCAAGGATCTAACCCCAAGCTCTGCATTTTGACTCCCGAGGAAACTTTATGATCCCAGCATAACTTCCAACTCCTGGAGCTCCCCTGGGCAAGGCAGGGCAGAAATGGGGACTCTGCCTTTAGTTTGTGACTTCTTTGCCAGTCTTTGGTTTGCTCCTTTTCCACGTGCTGCAGTTCTCCTCCTTTCTGATGCTTTTTTCATCCCTCGCACACATGCTTTCTTCCTGACTGCCAAGGGACACCACCCAGGGCAAAACAGCACCCAAAGTGCTTCAAATCCAAGCTTTGTGTGCAGCTTTGTGTGACCCAGTGCCACCTTTCTCTGCACTGCAGGACATGCACAGCGTGCACATGGGCAAGCCTCTGCCTGCCCTTTGCCACACACGTGCAGGGCCAGGAGGGGAATCTCACGCCTGGTGTTAAAGCAAGGGACTTCTGCCATTTGTGCAGTGTTTTTAAACAGTGCAGTAACCACTGCATAAACTACACACAAACTGTGCTTTCTGCAAAGCTGCTGATTGCTGTGAATATTATGAATTAAAGGATTTAGTAATATGAGATGAATTAATGGTTATGTGGTAATCATCTAAAAAAAACTTAAGGCGGCTTTAAAGCTTATTCAGACTCTTGCATGAATGAAATCCTACCATGGTCAAAGACCAGGAGCCTGAAGGCTCTTGGGGAAATTTTAAAATTAATTTTATGTCCTGTAGCAACTATTGGCCATAAGCTGAGAGCATGACTATGATTAGTTCATTTTTATATATTTACTTCTCATATACAAGAATCATAATCTCTATTATAACACTAAATTCTCTTAACTTTTAAGAAGTTCCATTATTTGCCATCTCAAAATAATAATTATATTGTAATACTATATAGACAAATTAGGCACAATGCTTTATAGTTTTGCTTCAACTTTTGAATTTTTTTTTTATGAAATGGGGGGGGGGATGATATCTTCATTTACAGACAGATTAATAAAAAATTAATCCTCACACCACCACAACATAAACCCCGGAGTTTTAAATATTCTCCAAACAGCATGTATTTAATCTGAATAGTGAAGTCAATACATCATCCCATCAGAGCTGAAGCACAGACAGCCACTGCAGCCAAAAATGCCAGGTTTTATCATTCATTGACATGCATACTTCCCCACTGGGTTATTTTACCTGCTTCCTGGTCCGTGTCTTCCCTGTTCTAAGTTTGATGTATCTGGCTATCAATTCATTCCTACCTGAAACAAAGAAAAATTCATGGTAAGGGACAAGCAACATCACACCCAGGAATGCCATCAAAATACCACATTTGAACACGAGCTCCACACATATCAGGTTTGTTTTCCTGGCAAACAATTTACCAGTATTTCTCATTGTTCACCAGTTTTTCCTCTCGATCTCCTCTTCCATATTTGCATGTGCCACAGGAGCTGTGCAGAGCAGCACGAGTTCAGCATCTGCCCACCAAAGTCCCACAGCAGTTTACAGGCAGAGAGGCACCTCCTTGGCCAGCAGCAGTGCCCAGCATCATCTCTCACTGGAGAACCTCCCATCCTAAGGCTCACACAAGGTCTGGGCTCCTCTGGTTTTGCTTCCAACTGCTCCAGGTGTTTTTTGTCCCCCTGCATTCCTGTGGGGAGGAGTGGCTGCTCTTGAGAAGGTCGTGTGCTACCTGAGCCTAAGTGCCAATCACCCAGATGTGCCAGCTTCTCTCTGGGTTTTAATTCTGCAAGGAGAATGGCAAAACCTGTCCTTCCTGCCGGAAAGGCTCCTCCAGAGATGGAGACCATTGTCCCAGGCCAGCAGGTTATCAATCAATCAATCACACCCTAACTCTACTCGAAAGAGTGGCCGCCCTGCAGTGCTGATGTTCCTGTGGGAGCAGGGCCCATGAACACGGTGGTTTGTTATTCACAGCTCTGTTTCTCTTGGAAATGTGAAATATTTCCAAGTCTCTAAAATGGCTATTTGACTCTTCTTCAGTCACACATTATGCTACCTAATGCAAACTAACATTTTCTATCCAAATAATTTCCTTCCTAAGTATTGCTGACACGGAAGATAACACAAGTTTTATGTGGTGTCCTGTTTATTTTCACTTCATATTATGTTTCTTCTCTATGGGTTGTAATAATTTAAATATACTTGTTCAACAAGTTCTAAGTTACAGAGCTATTTGCATTCAGCACCGGGAAAAAGTAGCCCGTGTGTAGAAAATGAGAAAACTGATTTAGCAGTGAGCTGAAAATGGGGAGGTTAAGAAAATAACTTGTCACCCACCAAGCTATTTTGAAGTGGATGAGTACATAGCAGGGGAATGCAGAAAATTATTTTATCAGCCAGAGCTTAAAACCCTTACAGCTTTAATATTGTGGGGGAGAGACGGGAAAGTTTTGAAGTAGCCTGCATATGTTTGAAGTGCAATTTGTTGACTGAAAGACTGAACACATTTAGTCAAACTAGACTTCTTCTTCAGTCCCCCCCTGTGAGCTTTATTTTATGCCCTTTGTATCAAATGCCTCATAGTTCCTGTCTCTTTTGTGTTTGCTGAATGGGTACCAAAACATGAAATATCAACGTGCTTCAGAGCAGAGCTGCTTTTTTGTTTTGGTCTGGACTGTGTGCCACGTTTCCCACAACATGCCCCTGGTTTCTAACTCTCCAGCAGGTCTCTTCAGGACAAACTTCAGGAGGTAAATTTTGCGTGAGCAAACAGCTACACAAACCAGCCACATTTCTGCACACAAATGAGGGATTTCCGCATGCAAACAGAGGAGCAGGTAGTTACCTAATTTCATGCAAAGGCCTTGTCTTTAGGCTGAACACGAGTTCTGCAGCCTGTTGAGCTCACAAAATGCTTGCCATTTGAAGTGAACAACTTTGTGGTTTTAGGGTGAAACCAGGGAATGTTCCACCCCTGTATCTACCTGGTCTTGTGTCCGTTCTCACATCCCAAACAGAAGCCTGCAAGGGCAGCCCTCTGCGGCCTGGTGAGATGCAGAGATCACCACATGATCACCAGTGTGATAGGTGGTATGGACATTTACCTATTTCTAAATGCACATTTTGATTTAATTGGGGAATGCCCCCCCCTCCAGAAAGTACCTGCTTTGCATATGTTTAAGTATGTGCACACATTAATATCCAGAATGTTTTTGGTTTGTTTTGTTTTGTTTTTTTTTTTTGCTGCAACAATATTGTTAGGTTGTTCTGACCAGCAGCTGGTGACTGTGCAAGGTCAGTGATGCTACAAGGTGATGTAAAGGATGTGATGCCATCTCTTGTCCTGCCGTCTGTGCTGCAGAGGTTTCAAATACCTGGGCATAGCACAGGTCACTCCAGCCACCCCTTGCCCATTAAGGCATCCTTATGCAGCCCCAGGCCACAACAGAGGTTCCACAGTTCTCCTAACAGACAAGAGAGTTAAAAAGCTATTTTTAAATGAAAGCTCATGTTCCTAGGCAGCCATTTGACAGGAAAAGCATCTTTATTAAAACACCAAACACTGAAAGTCTAGACTGTATTGTTTGAGTGCTGTCTCTGGTTGAGCCCCAGTCCACCCATGAAATACTCTGGCTTCACTCACAGGGGGTTTCTGTAGCCATTATCCAGCTGGCCAGAGCTATGACTAACAAGATTGCAGTTCTGGCAAGTGACTGCTCCCCTTAAGCTGAAGGCTACCTAACTCCAGAACAACAGGGTGGAATAATTTGCCTAAACTTGCAGGGAGGAGGAACTCCACAAAGAACCATAAAAAGTGGCTGAGGTAAAAGCCTAAGACACGCTTTCCTTACCATCATGTTTTCAACACAGAAAAGACACATGCATCAGGTTTAGCCAGAGCAGGAGATACTGGAGGCTCACCAAATACCTCCCTGGCCACAGCAATCTGAAAAGACGTAAATTCTTTCTTGGGCTACCAAAAGCCATAAACACAAACAGAAGCACTGCCTGACATAAAGATAGATACCTCCAACTAAAAGTTTACAGCTTTAATGTTATCTACCAAACACTGGTGCTCCTCTTTACCAACTCTGACAGATAGGGACAGAAATTATCTTATCTCCAGATCAACTGAAGTCCAAAGAGGATTTTAAAGAAAGGAAAGCTTAATAATACTAAAAACACCCTTTCCTGTTCTTGGGAATGAGAAGAGACTGAAACAAAAGGAGGCTCATGGAACTTTAACTGGCCATTAGAAACCTTAGGGTGAAAAATGCTCATTAATAAAAAGATCCGTTTTCTCTAGAAGAGCTCAGCTGTGGAATACTTTCCATACACACCCTCCCTCTGTCTCCTTGTCATAGATATATCTGGGAAATTGCCTGGCAGAAGAGAAGAGGTCAGATTTATGAACTGTAAATTTTCAGCTCTTTTTTCCTGTCATTTGCTGTGACAGTCTGCTTGGAATGTTTTGGTTCACGTATCAAAGAGAGGCATGTGGAGGTGCCTGGTTAGATAAAACATCTTCACAGCACAGGAATCTTTTCCAAGGATCTTGCAAAGATCAGGAGAGGACCACAACAAATATTTTACATAGGCTGCTTCTTTGAGTTTGCTTTTTTTCCCCCGTTAATTCAGGCTTTATCTGTCATGTCCTTCTGTGTCGTCAGTGCAATTGCAAACTATAATTTTCCCTGAACTGATGCTGAGGAAGAGGCATTTTGTGCAAAGGAACATATGTTTCAATCACAGCATGGAGTAAAAAGCGAGTTCAGCTAGAAAACAGTGCAGATGCTAAAAACCTGCGAGGCTTTGTGGACAGCTAAAGCTCTCAAAGCTCTACTGTGGCCCCTCCAAGGGCACAGCCAAGTCCCCAGGGCAAGCTCCAGCCAAGCCTGGGCACACAGCCTCCCTCCACCTTCCCAATCCACTGCCATCCCTGAGCACCATCACCCTCAACGGGGGAGTGTGTGGTGATCCTGGACACCTCTCGGGCAGCAGGGAGCTGCCACTTCTGTTCCTCTTGCTCAAAACAAGTGGGAGCAGCTGCAAAGTGGGGCAGCTCCCACCGCCTCTGCCCGGGGGAGGCAGTTGTTGCTCTAACAGAGGGCCCTTGTGCGGGGAGCCGTTTCCAAGAACAGCCTAAAGCAGCCAAGCATCAGCCCCCACAAAGGTCTGTGTGAGGCTCCCGGCTTCGCCCTTGATGCTAAAGGGTGTGTTTGTCCCCAGTTAACCAGCACAGCACTCAAAGGCGAAAATCCACCCCTGACTGAGGAAGGTGTGACTGGCAACCCCTTCACGGGCCAGAAACGGCACCAGCACCTCCGCAGGGGAGCCACCAGAGCACCACCTGCACCAGCTGTGAACATGCTCTTGGCCACACCGTGTCCCTTTCCTGTGTCCTGGCCATGGGCATCAGCACTCAAGCCCAGGCAGCAGGACAAGGAGCTGGTGCATCACGTCTCTGAGCAACCGTGAGGCCAGCGGCCGTCTTTATTTAGAACATTAACGACACAAATTAAACCTCTGCCCTCCCAGCTCCCAGTCAGAGGCACTATCCAAATGGGATAAAAATAGGCAAATGTGGGAAATAAAACCAGCTAGCAGCTTGAAAATGAACAGCTAATTTTAAAAAGTTTTTATACTCAGCCACATAATGCAAGTAACGACTGAGTAGAAAATCCTATTTTTTTTCAGATAATGAAACAACATGATAGTCTTCAAATTCTACAAGACTGTAGCTCAGAACAGGTATTTCCCATCCTGTCTGAGAAGTCTGGGGACAGACCTGCACGATTCCATCTCCCAAATCATTCTCACAGCCGTCTTTACACCGTAACAAAGGTTTGTTCAGCTGGTTTTGGTAAACTCCACTTCTGCTTGGCCTGGTGAACGCCCAGTGCTGCCCATGTGCCTGGGGGCCAAATTTGGAGAGCTGGTGGGACTTTTGCTCCGTGAGGAAGCAGCTGTGAGCGCTGTCCTGGGACAGTCCCCGTTAGCAGCACCCAGCTCTTTGTCTGGTCCCGAGCACAAGCTGGACACAGATCCCAGCCCAGGCACGGACACCATCAGCAGGGATGCGCTGCTTTGAACCCTTTCCCCATCAGAAAGTGGGCACGGGGCCCTTGGGCAGCAGAGCTCGCAGCCTGTGGGGGAAAAGCTGCTCCTCATGGTGCTCAGCCCCAGCGCTTTTCCGCTCTGTTTTGCTGGCAGAATATCCGGCTTTGGGAGATCTTGCCTCAAATTCGGCAGCGGCGCTTTCCAAAGGCGCCTTATAGCTAAACTGGCGAACAAA